AGAAACAGAAGACAAACCAACGAATCTTGCCTTTTGTTACACAATACCAACCATCAGTGCCAAACCTAAAGCAAATTTTCATGAGACACTGGCATTTAATAGAAACATAACCACTACTGAGCGAACTATACAAAAATCCGCCTCTCGTATCTTACAAAAGAGGGCGGTCGCTCAAAGACATACCCGTGAGGGCCAAACTTTGAATAAGCTATTCTAAACACGCCCTGGGATACGTGTAGGCCTGTCAACCCCATTTTACATTGATAACTAGCGACCACACTATGAGTGAGTGAGTTGACATTTGAGAAAATAATTCAAAACAATAAGAGACCCTCCACGAGAAACTGTATGGTTCAAATTATTATTAAATTCTACGTTCTTTCGTGAAATAAAATGGCCACAAATACTTCATAAAACAAAATTCCAAGTATGCTTGCTACCACTAAAAGCTTGCCAAAGCAAAGCTGATTACGTAGAAAATTCACAGCAAAAGATGTCTTATTTTTCTTTTACAAACTGTAAAACCTTAAGCTCAGGTTCGTATTGAGTTTTATGGATACGGTAAGGTGTGTTTTTAATTTCTTTGCTTTATTTTGATAAGATCGTGTGAGTTCTGTTATTGAGTCTTGTTCTTTTCAATACAGTTTTAGTCAAAGACAATACTCAACTAAAACCGTCATCAATATAAATTAAAGATCATACTATAGAAAGAAATTTGCTCTTAGTGCTTTCATTTTGCTATGAAGGAAAGAAAGGGTCCTTGCCAACGGTACCAGGCCTCTCGTGTAGAGATATCCACGATAATGGGGATCTAGACTTTAGCGGCTTTTACTGGATTCGGCCTGCAGGATCTCTTGCTAGTTTCCAAGGATACTGTGACAAGACAGCGATTAGACGTAAGTTTACTAATTGATCCAATAAAGTCATCATAATTTTCAACTGCAGGGTAACAGAGACATTTTGGGGATTTTATTTGCTTTCGGTTTTGCAGATTTCCCTTGAGCTACAAAAAAAAAGTTCTTACAACGCAAAAATCATATTTATGCAAATATATATGATAATAGTTGTAAAAATTTACCCCAACAGTCGCATGAAATTCCAGGGATACAGGCAGGGAATAAGGGTAGGCATATTGTGTCGTTTGACGTCAGTTTCCATCCTTTGTGGGAGCCAGTTATTTTCGTCTAACATCTAGAACTTTTATCATAAATACTTGAAAAATACCGACGGTAAGTTTGATATCACGTGTATTGCATTTTGTGAGTATTGCGTCACGGAACAGTACCAGCGAGAGTTAGTAACTTGTTTTTGGCCAATTAAAACTCATGTGCAATAAGAATCAATTTTTAACAGTTGTTTATTCAAATTTTCGCATTTTTATCAAAGACAGTAGGCTGCTGGGAAATTAATTTTTTTTTCATTTTGTCTCAGAATGGACCAGGGTAACTTTGCAATGGGTCAAGCAAACTTACGAAGGAGGAGTGACGCTGTCCTTCACTGAAGAAAATGGTGGGCTCGTTATTTCAGGCCAGGTGACGAGATGGGGGTGTGGTTCAGGTAAAAGTCCCGGGGCTCTGACTCTGATTAAAGGCTACTGGACTAAGATAAAGTACACACAAGAATTCCGTGGAAAAGCTTCCTGTTGGAGTATATTTGGAGATAACAGGTGAGTATACACATGTACTTTTCAATCGTTTCAGAACCAAAATATGTACTCGACATTTCCGTGAGCTTAAGATAAGCTGCAGGAGTCCAGAATTAGTTTGGGGCAAAGTGAAACTCGAGAGAAGTTGATTGTCTTTCTGAATTATAGGTATGGTAGAACTTCAATTGAAAACAAATCAACAGGTGTGCATTCCTTTGATCCATCTCAAGGAGATTACATCACAAATCAATACTTCATGGGTGGAAAATGTGAGTAATGTGTGTGTTATTATCTGCTCAGATAAGCCGCTATTCCATTGCCAATTTTTAGGCCTACCCGGCGTACTGTGAAATCGGGTGGTTGATGCTACCCGTTTAACATAAATAATGTTTCTTGTAACGTATAAGCGTTGTGAGCTTATTAAGATCCAGAGAAGCGTAAGACCTGGATATAGATACGGGATAATAATTTCTCATTCAGAAGTCCGCAATGTAAGAATTGTTTGCCGAATTTTCTCTCTACGTTATTGCTTCGTAGTTGTCCAAAAAAGCCAAGAAAGGAAAGGAAAAAGATGAAAATGATTATCGCGACAATTACTGATCCAAGTCAAGTCAAGTCAATTTTTATTTAAACTTATACAGAATAATAATTAATGCAAATTGGTGTTTGAAATATAAGAAATCAAGAGATTGTGGAGAAAAAAATGAAATTTTCAATTGTAGGTACATTGTGTAGAGTTTAGGACACCTAAATAGTTCAAGGAACTGACCGAGTAGGTGACCCAAAACAAAGAATATCTTTAAAAGGAATATAGATTCAGAATATTTATTTTTTTGATAAAAAAGTATTACTTCATTTATTAAAATGGTGGTTAAAGATAATATAATCGTTGTGTACAACGACAAGAAAATTAAAACAAACAAAAGTTAACAAAACCTAAAGTACTGTGAATTTTACGAAATCCAAAATTTCCTTAATTCAAGTACTTTAGAGGTAATTTCAAGTTTCTGAACTTTTGTTATACTTTAATCTTTTAGCCCACATCTTTGATGGTCAAACAACAAAGTGCAACAATTTAAACACAAACTTCTGGCGATACGATAATTCTGATGTACGCTATGCAACAGTAACTATCAGAAGAGAACTGAATGCAGAAAATGCCGGGATTTTTACCGGCACATCCTGTGGCACACCAACATACAAGATCAAGGATATTTACGTATACTTTTAAAAACAGTGAACAATAATTAAATAGAGTGCTGCATGAAAGTAATTCAGAGCGATGTTAATTCTTTTGTTTTGAGTCAGTTATGTTAAGCAAGGTTTGCAAGATCAGGTATAACTACGTATACTTTTAAAAATAATGAACAATATATAAATGGAGTGCTGCATGAAAGTAACTCAAAGTCACAGTGATGTTTAATTCTTTTGTATCGAGTCAGTTATATTCAGCAAGTTTTGCAAGATCTGGTAGAATTAATTATCCTTTTATAAACAGTAAACAATGAAATAGAGGACTGTTGCCTTGAAAGTAATTCAGAGTGATATTAATTCCTATCTAAATTCACGACTCATACACAAGAGTGGGTGTGCAGCTCGAACTAGGAGCTGCTAAGATTTTCCCTCCTCACCAGTGTTTTTTGGGGTTTTCCTGGTATTACAAGGGTAAGGTTAGATATTTTTGCTTCCGAGTCCTTCCCTTTGGCCTTTCTTCAGCCCCTCATATCTTTACTAAGATTTTTGGACCTCTCGTTGCCCACAGGAGGCAACAGGGGATTCATATTGTTGTGTATCTTGACGACGGGTTAGGGGAGGCTTCTTCATATCAGGCTGCCTCGGTTAGTAGCGCTAAAGTAAAGGGAGATTTAGTTCACTCTAGTTTTGTTCCAAATCCGGAGAAATCTCTTTGCGTCCCCACCCCTGTCATTGACTGGCTGGGATTCACTATTGATCTGTTTCAGGCCTTACTTTTTCACTCGTGATATGCGCGCCTGCGCAAAAGCGAGTTGTAGATATGATGTGAAGAATGGCACTCGTTCGCTCACTCGATTGGTCGATTCCTGTAAACTTTTTTATCCGATTTTAGGCTTGTGAGTGCATTTGATAGTTTTTGGCAAGTAATAAACAATCGAGATGGCGACCTTTGTTGCTAAGAATAGTGGTGGGGTGAAAAAGAAAAGCCAATGATAATCTTAAAAGAGTTTAAAACTATGCGTTTTTCATCCGTGAATTAAAGTTTTCCCAACCTCCGAATACACTTTTGTCTCTCGCGGCGTATATTTCATTTATGGCGTCAATGCTTCTATTTTTGAATGTATATATGTAGGAAAATGATTATTTTGTCCGAAAAAGAAAAAACGAAAACAAAGAAAAGAAGTTAACCGATAGGTGGGTATTAAGTTTTTACTCAAAAATGAAGATGAAAGATAAAAATCGCTAAATATTTTCGTATGTGAGCAAGTAGGCACGCGGGCCATATTTCAAAGGGAATATGCAAATTTGTCCGGAGCGAAGAGATTTCAAGTTTCATGGAATCTGTCAATAGGAAGCAAGACGAAAATGACCAAGAAATATTTTGGGACAACAGTTTTATTCAAGACAGTTCTTGATCTGCTGTTATACGCGAAAAACGTACAAATTTCTCACGAGCGCAAAGCCCACGCGATAAAATTCATCATGCTTAGATCGTTGTTTACTTGACTTCACGGCCAGAAAATTGCGTAGCGTTATGTTGAAAATTCTGAAAAACTGCTATTTAACACAAAATCTACTATTAAACTATACTTTTTGAACACATTGTTCCTCGAGCATAATATTTACCGGGCCGTGGAATCGTCAAACTGTCGCGTGGCCCTACTTGAAGTCCGAAAGTTCTATAGCATTGCTACTTTATATTCTGAGTTCCACAAGGTCTAACTTGATCGCCAAGGAACGAAAAATTCGACTTGAAAATTTTGAAGGTCGGCCGCGCGGACGCCATATTTTCAAATTTGATCATTTAGTATGAACGCACAGAATGATGCCCCACTAGTACCCCCTAAAGCCATCAAAATATATGCGCAAACGACGGGTTCTGATTGGTTTATTGATCCCCAAACTATAGAGGAAGTTTGGGGACAAAATTCTGCTTAGTAGGGGAGGTAGGTGGGGGAAGCGTTCTCGCGCGAGCCAATAGCGCGGTTCGGGCGGTTAAGCAAAACGAAAAATTGACTTTCGTGCTGCGGATTCGATCCAACTTCTCCTTCGTAACAGGGAAAGTTACTATGATTGTGGCAGTGCCACAAGGCCATCTACGGCATGAGTCACTAGACAGCATAAGCATAAAAAGAACGCAACCTGTAAGAGAGGAACTCACTTTCTGAAAAGACTATATTAGGTTTTTAATTGTAAGCCTATCGGACAGCGCTTTTCCGCTGCTCTCACTATTGTTTATTCCCACGCGGGTGATTTAGGTGCTAGGGGTGTCATTATGGGGCGCGATGACCTCATTTGCCACCTTCCATGGTCCCCTCAGGAGGCGGGCCGCAGTTCTACCTGGCGTGAGCTGCAAGCGGCCTACATTTGTCTCTCTAGTTTTTTCTAGATCCTTAGCTGGTTGCCCTGTCCAGTGGTTTACGAATAATCGCAACATCCCTTCCATTATTTGCAACGGTAGCATGAAGGCGGATCTTCACGAACTCACTTTGTCCATCTTAAGATTAGCTCTCCAGAACACTATTGATTTGCAAGTAGACCGGGTCCTTAGATCCCTTAACGAGCAAGCGGATGCCATTGGCAGGTTCGTTCAGAGGTGTGAGTAGGATTTGAGTGCTCGGCAATACGTACTGCTAAATTTCTCACAGTTTCGCCAATGTAATCAACGCCACAAGAACAATATCCTTTGTAAACAACTTTGGATCTGTAAGTGTTTTTGTCTTTGTTGTTAAAAAGGCTTTTTACATAGCCTGTTTGCAACAGGATTACAAAGATGAAACTAAAAATAGTGAACTCGTTGAGGTTTTTAACCAACGTCTTTCCGAGTTTTTCGTTTTTACCGCAAAAAGGAAGCTCAATAAAGACTTTCTTTCGGTGTTCGAAGAAAAAATTCAGAATGATGTTGTCATCTTGTGATGAGTCGTTTAGAAAGATGTTGATTGTATAGAAACCCACTTATTACCATCACTATAAGAGAGAATAGCGGGTAGCGATGGGCAAACACTCTAAGTGATAATATTAAAAAACAATGGGATCAACATCCCAGAGCACTTTCAACGAATTAGATAAAGTATCTGTTTGCCACCAACGTTTAAATCTGCACATAAGATAGGATAGGATAAGGAGATAACCACGTCACATGTTTAATGCCTTACAAAAAAAAGTCCCTCTAATAGCTTCATGTGTCCTCTTACTGCGTAAAGTAGATTTATTTCACATTCAGTTAGTAGCGCAATAACGCATATAACAAGCTGGTGGCCTAATAAGTTTATAGATATAGTAAGATCCACAGTTTTTCACAGTAATTACATTTGTGCCTCTACAACCTGAATCACGATCACTGAAGCAGACCTTCCTGGAAACTTCACCGTCTTCTACTGTAGGATTAGCACCAACCAGCCAGCCTGGCCAGACTGTACCACATCTGTATGCTGGCACACGTTTTGTTGGCATTTTTGTTCCTGCAGCTCCCACAAAACGATACCATCCTTCGCGGAGTTTGTTGTCACACACCTCTTGGTACTGGGGTGTTAGGTAACTTCTCTTCCTTTTTGCATCATCCAGGCTTTGATGATAATAACATGGATTGGCTACAAAGTTAAATTAATATTCTAAAAAATTTGTAGAATCAAAAGCAAACATTTTTCTTGGACTCTTTTAAATCAATCAGTTTAACAACAAGCAGACGGTACCAAAAGAAGTCGCATTAAAAAATGATGATGCACAAGGGACTGAAATAAAATGATAGCATTATAAAAAGTTATGATCCTCTTGCTGTAATAGCAGATCGGATCTTGGTTTGCGTGTACTTGAACCGGATATGCTACCATAGGCGTGTGAGGCATTTTACAACAAAGCTGAGATCTAACGCGTTTTTTTTTGGTTAAAAAGGCGTACTTTATCAGAGTGTAGGGCATGGAGCAGAGCTAAAGCTGTCACGCCATCTGCCAATTTGTTTAGCTTTTTTCGTTAATTGAACGTGACATTTCTCAATAAGCGAGCAGGCAAGTAGCAACAAAATAACCAAACAAAGGTTTGTAGTTTGCATTATTATAACGCTTGAAGATGCGAAAATCCTCAAAGAGAAAACGAAATTTACAGTCCGAGTTTTTAAGGCTTTCACGCTCAAATTCCCTATACTGTTTTGTTTCTATGCGACGTACTTTGTTTACCCTAGAAGCAAATTCTCGGGTATTCGAGTTTATCGATATTTAAACTCTTAGATATTCAAACTCTTCGATACTGCTTACTTTACATGGAGACTGAGGTACAAAATAAAAAAATTAAATTACCTTTAAAAAGCGAAACGTACCTTCACAGGTAAAACCATCCCCAATATATTTACGATTGCAAGAACAGTTGTATGAGCCACGAGTATTAATACAAGAGGCATTTGGATGGCAGTTGTTCATTTTAACGGAATGGACCTCACTGCATTCGTCAATGTCTATGAGAGAACATTCTTAGTAAAGTAAGATCTTAGGATTTGGAGAGATTCGAAGACAGGGGAAAAAATTAAGTAGATGACAGATGACGTCAATTAACAAATGGTAAACACCACAGCGTACACTATTGAGTTATGGATGCACGCGGGAGGTTGTTAAGCACGAAAGAAGCGTAAAAGTCGCTCGAGGCGATAGCCGAGAACGACTCTAGCTTCTTGAGTGCTTAGCAAACCTCCCAAGTGCATCCATAACTCAATAGTGTACGCTGTGGTGTTTACCAGTTGTTTTATAACATAACATTGATACATTGTAGCTAAAAAGCTCCCTTTCATTTAACAAATCTTACGCGACCAGTAAAAAACAAGCGCGCGCGGAAAAATAGTCTTTGCATTTGCTCACGTCAGCAGCGTACACCCATGGGCAAATGGGCGACGCTAAATTGACCAATCAGAGCGTGTGCTTTACTTTGGTTGTGTTCTAAGATGTGTTAAGAACAAAAAAAGTGGCAAATGAGCTGTAGCTGAGTGTTCTTGATGTTTTTATCAAATTTGGACGTCTTCTGTGATCGATCACAGCTCGGATCCAAAGCAGTATAGTATCCTTTTGTTTTCATATGATAAGAAAGGGGAATTGTGTTCATGATGTAATTTATGCGTCTGGCCTCCAATCATAAGTAAAAACCAGTAAACATCAGTGCATCTTTCAGTTTATCATAGAAATTTAAACACTCGTTTCATTTTCATGATCATATTAAGGGTCACTGTTTATCGTCAGATGTAGGATTGATATAGGACATGCCCACAAAACACGTTGATAAAAATTCATAATTAGAATACTCATCTCTTAAGTTAGAAGGAACTAAAGAAACAAATAAC